AATCAGATGCAGCTCTGCATAGTAAACAATCAGCTTCTAACTTAAGCCTGTTCAATTAAACTTTGACAATAAAACCTAGAAGCTGATTGGTTAATATGCACAGTTGCACCAGATTCTGTGTGCACCAGTTTTTGTAAATCATCCCCCATGTGTGGCAGAAGAATCAGGAGGAATGTCTTATAATATTCATAGGGGAAACCATCTGGTCCTGGGGCTTTGTGTGTTGGCATCGTGTTAATGGTTGCCACAGTTTTATACCTCTCAGTGGGCGATTGAGAAAGTGAAGGTCAAAAACAGAGCGCTTGGGAAAGCCACTGTTCACAAGGTATTGCTGCATTAATTTATGGAGAGAGGTGGATGATGGGGTATAGTAAAATTCTTCTAAAACCAAGGCTATGCAGGAATAATGGAATTGCAGTATTTCCGATTTGTCTAACATGAGGAGCTGAAAGATGCATTTTTGTTTTCTTTTAGTTTATTTGCTAGAAATAGGCCTTGTTCCCTTTACCATAACAAGAGTTTTCTCTCCTCTGCCAAGGGCAAGTTCTTTTTAAGTGGCTTGCAATATGACTAGCTTTTAAAAGCGTCACAGAACGAGAAGTATGTAATTGAGCTACAAGGGCTTGGAGTTTATGTTCAGGAAGAATTTTAGTGGCATTAGCATTTTTCTTGAGAGCAGAAGGGAGGGCTATACATTGTTCTATGATGACGGTCAGGTGCTGCAAGATATTTCTGGGGTTGTATTTTCCATGAAATAAAGCCTGATTCTGGGTTGACACCATTGTGGTGCGGGACCCCGCACATAATTTTCATGTTTTTATACCCCTGTAAAGTAGGAACATTCACTAAGACTTAACCGATGCAAGAGTGAATAAGGTAAGGGTGAGATTAATTAATATATTGTCTTTCTGTAGGGTAGTTTACTCTCCACGCATAAAATAGTGCACGCTTTCTAGAAAGCTAGCAAAACAGCTGAGGTTGTTTAGCTATGCATAGCTGAGATTTATGGTTTCTTATTGCATGCCTGTCCAGGATAGTCAAATATAGTAAGTTATAGTCGCCACAGTGATCAGGTTTTTATGTTCCTTTTGGAAAAAGACCCTTGATAGAAAAGCATTTTGGTTCATGTTAGGAGAGCATATGTTGCAAAGAGTAATGTTCATGGATTGCTATTTGCCTTTAAGAATGATGTAGTGGTCCTTAGGGTCCAGATAAGAGTTAAAGTGGAACTTTACCCATAACAACTTGATAAAAAATAATGTTCTATAGCCACTTCAGCTCCAGAAGGTTTTACCCCTTTCCTGACCAGGGCATTTTTTGCTATTCGGCATTGTGCAGTCATGCAACACTGTACCCAAACAATATCTGTATCCTTTTTTTCACACATATAGAGCTTTCTTTTTGTGGTATTTGATCACCACAGGTTTTTTATTTTTTTACGATATAAAAGGAAAAAGACCAAAAATTTTGAAGAAAAAAATAATAATTTCTACTTTCCATTATAAAAAATATCCAATAAACTAAAATTTATTTATAAATTTAGGCCAAAATGTATTCTTCTACATGTCTTTGGTAAAAAAAATCCTAGTAAGTGTATATTAGTTGGCTTGCGTTAAAGTTATAGCGTCAACAAACTGTGGTATATAAGCTGGAATTTACACAGCTTTTACTTTGACTGCCTATCACAATTCGTGAGGTGCTAAAATGCCGGGGCAGTACAACCCCCCACCCCAAATGACCTCTTTTTGGAAAGTAGACTTCCCAAGGAATTTTCTGAGACACATGGTAAACCCATGGAAGGTTTTATTTTTTGTCTTTTGTATTTTGATTTAAAATAAAATGACAAAAAAAGTTTTCCTTTTCAACACAAAGTTGTCATTTAAATGATATATTGCTCACACATGCCATGGGTCTATGTGGAATTACACCCCAAAATATATTCTGCTGCTTCTCCTGAGTATGGGGATACCACGTGTGAGACTTTTTGGGAGCCTAACCGCGTATGGGGCCCAAAAAGCAATGACAATCTTCAGGCTTTTAAAGGGCATGATTTCCTCATTTACCTTCCTCACTACCTATCACAGTTTCTTTTTTTTTTTATTACAAACGTTTTGTATTACAAAAAAGTTTTCAAAAACATTCCGAGAAGTAACAATTACATTCCAAAATATATAAAATATATACATACAGTAATTTTTGCAGTGCTAACATCAGATAGATATATCTTAGATTGTATATGTGTATAAAAATATAGTTATCTGTGATACATCTCGGTACAAATCAAAAGGTACAATCACATGATGTGTAACTTAAATATAGCGCAATACGTCTTCATCAAAATGCTGGTATAATTATCCTTCGAGAGTCTATAAAGGTACTAAGGATCCCATTTGAGATTAAATAGTTTTTTGTATTACGTAATGTATGAAAAATTGTTTCCATAATTGTGATGAACCGTCCCTTTGTGATAACATTTTCCCTTTCTGTTCTGATTTTATCCCCTTTGTAAAGCTGTATATGTTTCACAGACATTCTACACTGTTTGTTTAGGGAAATGTTACCTTGTAGTCTTCCACTCCTAATAGAGTTCATACTGTATTGTTGGGTTGTAGGGTTTTGTTGTGGGTGGGGAAAACCCGGTGCCAGGCTGTCTGGTGGGACTGAAGGGGGCGGGGATTACTGCCAGGATGTGCTGTATATACTGAGCTGTGTTTAATAAAGAAAGAGGCATTTTCACCCTACACGAAGTTCCGACTCGTGGGTTGGGGAAGGATTGGTTTTGAGCTTTAATACCTGCCTTGACAGAGCACTGGAAGACTTGCAGGACAAGGGGACCATTGAGTGAGACGCACTGCTTTGCACAAGGAAGCCCAGGCGGAACCGTTCCGTCACAATAATCATAATTCATCTATTCTAGATAACATTTGAGGAAAGGGAACTATATTTTTTCCAATGAAGTGGTATTGCCTAGTGTGTTGATATGCAAATGTTATGAATAAGATTGGATAAAGAGGAGGATATAGCTGGGATATCTCCTAAATAATAAACAGTTATCATATGGTAAAGTAATTTCCTTGCCCATAATAGAGTTAATTATAGAAAAACAGGTTGGGTAGGTCTTTTCAGGTAGGAACTCATTTCTCACATTCATATATGATTTTGTACATTTGCGGAGATTAGACCACATGGAATCCCAATTCTGGATTCTCAGCATATAGGGTAAATGCTGTAGAAAATTAATTGAGGTCATTGTATAAAGCTGAAATGAGACCTTTCCTTCTAGGAGTTTTGTGACACATATGTTCATAAATAGTAAAATAATTAGCATCAGGTATAGCATAATGTGTGTTATAAATCCTATCACAGTTTCAGAGGTCCTGAAATAGCACAAAACCCTCGAAATGACCCCTTTTCAGAAAGTAGACACCCCAAGCTATTTACTGAGAGGCATGTTGAGTCAATGGAAGATTTTATTTTTTCCACAAGTTTTTGAAAAAATGACAAAAAAAAAACATTTTTTTTACACAAAGTTGTCACTTAAATCATATATTGCTCACACATGCCATGGGCATATGTGGAATTACACTCCAAAACATATTCTGCTACTTCTCTTGAATGACCCATTTGTAGAAAGTAGAAACCCCAAGGAATTTTTTTAATTTAAATATTTATTAATTTTTCAGAAGTTATTCAAACATACCTCATTAAAACCTTAGCTTATTATCAAAACATTTATCGTTTCATCCCTTTCCCCCACCCCAAGGAATTTGATAAGAGGCATGGTTGAGTATTTTGCAGATATTTTCTTTTTTCATTTTCTAAAAACCTGTGGCAACTAATGAGATCTGCAAAATATTTACCATGCCTCTCAGCAAATCGCTTGGGGTGTGCACTTTCCAAAAAGAGATAATTTGGGGAGTGTATGAACTGTTCTGGCATTTTATGCCCAATGTTAGAGACTTCCGCCACACATTACCTACTGTTCTAATCACTTGAAGACCAAGCCTTTCCTTTATTTACATGAAAAAACTGTATTTTTTTGCTAGAAAAGTACTTTGAACCCTCAAACACTATATATTTTTTAAAGCAGAGGCTCTAGAAAATAAAATGGTTGCATCCCAGATGGAGAGTGAAAATTACCATCAATTTATTACTTAGGCTTGTCCCTTTTTAATTTTGCAGCATATCCCTGCCTACAAAGAGTAAACAAATTATACTAGTACAGATGTTATATATAGAAAACCCTCTTTTTTTGTGTGATTTTTAAGGCACAAATAAAACAGGTAGAACCATTAAATTTGTAGTAACTTTTATAGAACCTGTCATGGACTGCCAGTGCCTCTCCCATCCCCCGCCATATCCCTCCACCCCTCCCTTCCCCCTTGTACATTCCAAGGTCTGTGGGGCTTCCATAGACATGGCTGGGCCGGCCATTGCCGAGGCAACCTAGCTGCGTCCCACATGATCTTCAAGAGACCCACATAGGAAGCAGCCCTTCTCTTTTTGTTCCTGTCCATGCTGCTGGAATCATCTTGCTCCCAGAAAGATGCTGGGAGGCTCGGGTGAGGGGGACCAAGCCTCCCCAGCCATCCCCCCTGTGCACTCTGCAGACCCCCAAAAGGTCAGGACTGTAGCCCTCTGCAATACCCCAGGGTTGGGAGTCTCCACAGCTCTGCATGAGCCTTCTCCTCAAAGGTCAGACTCCACAGCTGAGACCCTGCCAGTCTGTAAGCCTGTCTACTGGGCACCCTTGCACCCTGTCTACTGCTGAGTGCCCTGGGAGCTGCTGCTGAGGGACCCTGCACACTATCCGTGGCTGCGTGTCCCTGGAAGCTGTCTGCTGCTGAGTGCCCTGGGAGCTGCTGCTGAGGGACCCTGCACACTGTCCGTGTCCCCTGAAGCTGTGTGCTGCTGAGTGCCCTGGGAGCTGCTGCTGTCTGCTGATCATCCCTGGAATGCTGACTGCTGGTCGTCCCTGTCTGGAGCCGCCTGCCGCTGAGGGTCTGCCAGCTGCTTACCGTGAGTGTCCTGAACTGTCCCCGCTGTGTGCACCGACCACCCATGTTCTGAACTGTCCCCGTTGTGTGCACCGACCACCCGTGTCCTGAACTGTCCCTGTTTTGCGCACTGACCACCCGTATTCCGAACTGCCCTGCTGTGTTTGCACTGACCACCCGTGTCCTGATAGCATGCCCGGAGTATAGCTACCTGTGGTGCCCCTGAGTGCTTAAGCCATCGCTACCCGTTGAGTCCCCGTGAACCCAATGACCCTAGAAAGCTGGGTGGGAGCTGTGCTGTGGCCAGTCTCCACAGCTAGAGTCCCATTGAGTCCCCGAGGCCCCTGCCCAGTGGTAGGTTGCCGCCTGTTGCCCGAGCCCCTGCCCAGGGGTAGATTGCCGCCTGTTGCCCGAGGCCCCTGCCCAGTGGTAGGTTGCCGCCTGTTGCCCGAACCCCTGCCCAGTGGTAGGTTGCCGCCTGTTGCCTGAGGCCCCTGCCCAGTGGTAGGTTTCCGCCTGTTGCCCGAGGCCCCTGCCCAGTGGTAGGTTGCCGCTTGTTGCCCGAGGCTCCTGCCCAGTGGTAGGTTGCCGCCTGTTGCCCGAGGCCCCAGCCCAGTGGTAGGTTGCCGCCTGTTGCCCGAGCCCCTGCCCAGGGGTAGATTGCCGCCTGTTGCCCGAGGGCCCTGCCCAGTGGTAGGTTGCTGCCTGTTGCCCGAGCCCCTGCCCAGGGGTAGATTGCCACCTGTTGCCCGAGGACCCTGCCCAGTGGTAGGTTGCTACCTGTTGCCCGAGGCCCCTGCCCAGTGGTAGGTTGCCACCTGTTGCCCGAGGCCCCTGCCCAGTGGTAGGTTTCCGCCTGTTGCCCGAGGCCCCAGCCCAGTGGTAGGTTGCCGCCTGTTGCCCGAGCCCCTGCCCAGGGGTAGATTGCCGCCTGTTGCCCGAGGCCCCTGCCCAGTGGTAGGTTGCCGCCTGTTGCTCGAGCCCCTGCCCAGGGGTAGATTGCCGCCTGTTGCCCGAGGCCCCTGCCCAGTGGTAGGTTGCCGCCTGTTGCCTGAGACTCCTGCCCAGGGGTAGATTGCCGCCTGTTGCCCGAGGCCCCTGCCCAGTGGTAGGTTGCCGCCTGTTGCCCGAGGCCCCCTGCCCAGTGGTAGGTTGCTGCCTGTCCCCGAGGCCCCTGCCCAGTGGTAGGTTGCCGCCTGTTGTCCGAGGCCCAGTGGTAGGTTGCCGCCTGTTGCCCGAGTCTCCAATCCGCTGCCCAGTCACGGAGGGAGCTCGGCTGAGGCCCCAAGCCTATGGGGGAGACTGCCTGCCTGTCGCTGAAGACCCCCCATGCCTGGAATCAGCCCTGGTTTGCGCACACATCACCCTCCCTGCCATTTCCCCATTGAGTGTCTGTCCTTTTGTTGCTTCAATAAAGCTTTGTGTGTTCCCCATCTTCTCTGTGTGCTCTGTCCTGCCTGCACTTCCATTACAGAACCATATTTAATTTTACACAAAATATTAAAATTCACATGAACATATACAATATGGCTGTTAACCTCTTCCATACAGGGCACTTTTACCCCCTTCCTGCCCAGGCCAATTTACAGGTTTCGGTTTACAGGTTTCGGTTCTCCCTCTGAAGAAGTGCCATTGCACGAAAGGCCTCAGGAGGAACCAGACAGCACATGACAATACTGCCACCTGGAGCTGGAAGGAAGCCCAGGCGGTCATTTTAATGGAGGTATAGTGTTATTTTCTGCTCATCACTATACCCTGTCTGTCTTATGCGGTACTACAATAAAATCATTTAGTATACTACACTATGGGCACTTCTTTTGTGGCTCCTATTTGGAGCTATTAAGCCCACAGGTACCAGGTAGTATCCAGCATGTCCGGAGGAATAGGAGCCCCATATCCAGGCTGATCACCTCACTATCTTAAGGAGGACCTCTGGAACCAGTGGATTTAAACATTTAATTAACGGCTTGATGACTACACCATAGGAAAAAGTTCACCGGATTGACCAATATACCTTGAGGATTATTATTTATGCGCATTATCGATGCGCTTCTGGTGAGTGCGCATTTTTCACTTTTGGCTGGAGTCACAAGTCTATCTGCTACATTATCAGACTTTATATTGGTTTATGGTCTCACATGTGTTTATGATCATTTTATGTGGACTTATTGGCATAATATTTGATATGTATTTCTAGCGCTACACCCTTTTTATATCTTTGATCTTTTAGAGTGTTGGTGCCTCTTGGTGTTTTAGCAGCTACTTATAGGAGCGCTCACTATACTTTTATTTTTATCTGTCTGTGGTACTCAGATCTGTCATCGGCCGTGTCCGAGGTACATGGCCGGTGACAGATCGCGCCGCTGCGTGGCTCTGCAGGCGCGCAAACTGCGCATGCCCGAAAGGACACCATGTAGCGTCCACCCGGAAAGGTGAGGGTTTTTGCCAGCCGCCATTCGGCCATAGGCTGGGCGGGAAGAGGTTAAACATTGCATACTTGTTAAAATAAATGCACAGGTAAGGAAGGAGAAATTCAAATCATGACCGGCACTTGACGTGTTTCGAGACAACAGACAATCTCTTCCTCAGTAGTGCCTAAATAGATCATGATGCCTATAATAGATATATAATTATAATTACATTATAAATAAAAACTCAAGCGCTTACTATGGTGAATACAAAAATGTAAATAAATAACTATGTTTGATAAGTGAAATGTGAATGATAAAATAATATGAGTGAAAAGATGCTGCGCTACATATATACAAAAATACACAATTCCTATAGAAAAACTAAAAACTGTGGTGGTTTATGTAATTTGTTCTAAATAAGTAGGGCGGTGTCCGATTCCCTTAACCATTTCAATACCGGGCAATTTTACACCTTCCTGCCCAGGCCATTTTTCATGTTTCAGCGCTCTCACACTTTGAATGACAATTGCGCGGTCATACAACATTGTACCCAAACTAAAATTTTATCATTTTCTTCACACAACTAGAGCTCTCTTTTGGTGGTATTTAATCACCGCTGGGGTTTTTATTTTTTGCTAAATTAACAAAAAAAAGACCAAAATTCTGTTATAAAAGTTTACAAATAAATAATTGTTCTTCATAAATTTAGGCCAAGATTTATTCTGCTACATGTCTTTGGTGAAAATAACCCAAATTAGGATGTATTATTTAGTTTGTACGAAAGTTATAGAGTTCACAAACTATGGTATACATCTGAAAATTGATCAATCCTGAAGTACTGACAGCCAATCTAATTTCTTGAGGTCCAAGAATGTCAGAATAGTACAGATATCCCCAAATGACCCCTTTTTGCAGAGTAGACAGTCCGACTTACTTCATAAGAGGAATGGCGAGTTTTTTGAAGTTGTATTTTTTTTGTCATAATTTTTTGGAAAATGAAAAAATTAAAAAAATTATTTTCACTATTTCTTTTTTACATACTGTCACCAGTGCAGTACAGCATGACATGTGCATGTGACCTGCTGTGACCATTCACAGCTAGGCACTAGTATACAATGGATGGCATGAATGAAGCCATCCATTGTATACAACTGTCATGTGACCTGCTGTGATTGGTCACAGCAGGTCACATGGTACCGGCAACGGTGGCCGGTACTCAGATCTGTCATCAGCCGTGTCCGAGGTACACGGCGGTTGACAGATCGCGCCGCTGTGCGACTCTGCAACCGCGCAAACTGCGCATGTGCGGGAGGACGCCAAATGGCGTACACCCCGGAAAGCTAAAGTATTTTTGCGGCCGCCAAACGGCTATAGGCCGGGCAGCTAATGGTTAAATATATTGCAGTGCCTCCAGCCATTAAAATACGGCAAATAATTAATAATCCAATAATATGGACACTTTAATAATTTGATCACCACGTATAATTTTCCTTGAGTTCTTTAAACCAATGTGATTTCTTTACCATATACACAAAATTTGCCTTTTTTCATAAATAAATACATTTATTTAGGTACAAATATTTATATATATATATATATATATTAATACAAACAAAACTACTGATGATGAGTATATGCTTACACACAAAGATACAGTATATCACGCTAACCTCTATGGTATAAAAACACAATATACTGTATATCTATAACCATAATTCAAAAACATTTTTTAGAGGGGTTAGTATCAACTTATAGTGCTTCAGATATTATTTCCAATTTCCCGCGGCCGTAGAGAAATAAGAAAGGATCTCTGATAAATGCACAGCAAAAACACTTCAAATGTGCACAATATATGTACACAATATATGATATCAGTACCCCAAAAAAGTTATATCAATAATTATCCAGTTAACCTCCGTACACTATGCAAATTATATAGCTATACGCAATGGTATTCTAAACAACACAATGAAATGTTATCAACTCTAATAAGTTAAATATATATATATAAAAATAAAGCTGTTCTGACAGTTCTCACCACTCCCAGAATTGCGATTTCTGAGGTCTTCCAGTGGGATGCAGTTGGTAAAAGAAAAATATGTTTCTGGTCAGTCAGGCACAAAAATTGGATCAGCAGCAGAGTCTCTGGCAAAAGTCTTCTTAAAAAAAATATTCTTCAAAAATAAAATGGTAGCAGGAAGTTCTCAAGTGGTCAGGTAGCAAGTGTTCAGTCTCAGGTGGCAAGTGACTAAGTGATTTTCAGGTGGCATCTTTTATATGGTCAAAGTACACTGTTCTGAGGGACCTCCCAAAAGGCTTGGTGATTGGACGGTTAGACGTCTGTGTAATTTAGACGTTCCTTACCTGTCCACCGGGGACAGTCATGTATCACGAATTAAATGGTGATCTTAATGATGACTCATCTTTTATCTGAAATATGTACTTATAGATAAAATGTATGGGTCCTATTAAGGTATAAAAATGACTTTTCCCGATATCTTTTAATAAGGTCCATACATATATATATATATATATATATATATATATATATATATATATGAGTAGATTTGGCGTCTCATCTTTCTGATATGAGAGCTGTATTTTGATTGCTGATTTTTGTCCTGAAATGGCAGATCTCTGTATAATAATTTCAGAATGTGTTATGGTATTAAGTTTAATCTTGTATGCTTAATTCCAGTCCATCATATGATTTATGTCACCTCTCTCTACATCTTGATGTAGACACATGTGTTGCTGCATCTTTATTTTGATATATGTATTTTACCCAAATCACAAATCATCTCAAATCCTTATGACTTCATGTTATTCAGTTGAGTGATATGCAGTATCCAACTTTGTTAAATGGACCTTGGTGTGTGTTAGTATATATCCATGTCTTTGATAATATTTCAGTTTGGATATATGCCAAACGTTTTTGTAATATATTAACTGAGTTAAGTCTTTCCTCATGCTGAGTGCAACCCTCAAGGAGACAAGGCCTTCAGGTAACCTCCATTTAATTAAATCCATTGTTGGATAATTAGTGTAAACATCTACTCAGGTTTTAGTGGGAGG